GCCCAAGATCATGGGCCTGCCATTCCTGCGCATGCTGCAGCATGTATGCTTCGACGAGATGATCGCGGCCGACGCCTGCAACTATGGGCTTCAGTACGCTTTGCGCTTGCGCGCTGGGGCCCGGCCGACGAGCCCGCCCACGCTCTGCGGGCGCTTTATGCGCATCTCTCAGCGCTGCGTGGACTTAGCTTTGTTCGGTGATTTTATCGTAGAAAGCATTGGGTTCGATTTCGCCGACGCGCCAGCAAGCTTATGCTACAAGGTGCAGTGCTACAAGATCAATCAGCTTCGGATCGATGGCGTGTATTCTTTGTTTCATCGTTCGACAGTGCTGTCGCGCGCGCGATTTCAAATCCGATGGTGGTGTTTTGTGCCGCTTTATCCCCGGAGTCTTCAGCGTGGCAGACTGGCAGAACCACGGGCGCCCGCGCCGCTAACCGACGCCATGCCTTTGGACATGAATTTCGATTCTGCGAGCACTTTCGACCGCCCGAGACATTGAACCTGGCGAAATTTTTCGACTCGGGGCCTCGCGTTGTTCCTCTTTGCCTGGGGCGGCTCAAGTGCGATTGCTGCCGCTGGGCCCCCTGCGATCAGCACCCTGCGACCGCCAACGCAAACAGGCGCGGGATCGCACTTAGTTGATCAGATATGTCGGCTTCGACCATATCGCCACCAACGCCCGATGGCGAAAACCGGTGGCGATCCCAATCCCAACCTTATTTTGTATGTCAAGCACGCTCAAACTACGCGACATAGGTTGCATACGACCACCGCCAAGTGCACTTTGCTCCTTACTGTTTGCATGGCGCGTTTTGGATTCAACCGCAGCGTGGTGGAGCGCTACGTGCATGTCAGAGGCCATTCTCTTTGGCGGGCAACATATCTCGGCGAGCGATCGATGAAACTTGACTTCAAGCGACAACGGCGACATGGCAATGCGGGTCCTTTCGCGCTCGACGCGTGAGATGCGCGTAAGCTATTCCCATGCAGCGCTAAAGTTCGCGCGCGACGGAAGCTGGAATCTTTCCCGCAGGCAGGCGACCTCTCCGCGCGAGCATTTCGGCTACCAGTTGCGTGTCCATCTGAACCAATGCATGTTCGATGCTCAGATCTTTTTTCGATAGATCTATCACAGGCTACACGTACTTCACCAGGGCCGCATTTGCTTCTCAAGGCCAAGCAGCAGGTAAACGCGTGTAAGTTACCAGCGATTTCACATTCGATTTCTCAGCAACATGCAGCTACTGCGCATTTCTGTGTAGCTCTATAGACACTTGCGAGATGGTGACGATGCACAACTTTCAAAAAATAGCTTGAGCATACCAGTGCTTGGATATGCCCGCGCCATTCTCTACCGCGACATTGGTGCGACAACTCGGAGCTGACTTGCCGTCTAATTCTGCCCGGTATGAAGTACGTGGGACATTCGTTAGCCTGGCGAAGTCCGTGCACCCGAAGTTGCTGAAGGATGTGGACCTCGAGAAGCTGGCGAATGCATGCCTCGTGACATCACCCACCACCCTGCGCGCCGAGGGTTCCGGGATTTTGTCGGGTGTCCGTCGACGAAGACGCGCGCCGCCGAGCTGCGTTTTCGTGGCCACGCGGCGTGTGGAAGCTTGGCCAGCGTTTCTTGGATCACCCTGTGCGCGACCATCGTCTTCCGAATTGGAGCGCGAAGATGGATCGGTCGGCCCGCAAATACATGCCCGATCGCTGGCGCGCCCCCCGAAGATGCGAAGTTGCGAGCACTGCGGAGCCCACCTCGCCGTCAAGGCTGAATTTGTTGACGACAGCTCTGGCGAGCTATGCTGCGCTAAGTTGGATGCCCATCACCGTGATATATGCGCTGCCCTACCGCGTGCCAGCGTGTCTTCATGCGAAAACAACTAGAGGTCTACGCTCGTATAAGCAGCTCAGTGGTGATGAGGCGCGGACGAGATAGGAGATGGCTAACTCACCGAAGACTGTTCATGCAAGAGCGCGCGCCTTGGAAGAAGTCCCTGAACATCGGTTTCAGTGCACCTGTGGACCTCCGAAGGCCCCAGCTTTCTGGACAAAGGTGGATGCGAGCCAGTTGTTAAACGATGCTCGTGCCAGGCGAGGCATCATTCGACGCGGTGCTCAAGTCGATCGCGTCCGAAAACGCATCAGATGACACGCGATTGCCGATCGACGTTCGCCCCGACCCACGGGCGCCCCTGTTGCGCAGGACAACGTGCGCCCCGTTGAATAATATGCATTTTCCTTTCAGGGCCGTCGACGCGCCGCGCGATGCACGGCCCAGGACGCCCACTTCTTCTTGGGGCAAGAAATTTCCTCGCGCGCCAACGGCTGGCCGATGGGAGGTGAGACGTCTGGGCCAGCGACCCCATCTGGTCTGGGCGGTGATAATCATAGTCTCTATGCATGCATCCCCGCCCCGAGCTTTTGATACTGGCTTGCATTTTCGTGACCTGCTACCGTCTCAACTTCTGCAGGTTCTGCTGATGTGGGCGACCCCTCCTCTGCTCGCGCGTTTGCTGTTCTTCCTGCTGCTGAGCCCTCGTCCAGCGCCGGTGGCCGCAGGATGTCGGAATCGCTGAAGACGGGCGCTCGCTTTCCATGGTTTCTCTGCATGTCCGATATCTGGAGATTGAAGGACACATTGAGGACCCCCTCTTTTTGCATGACGAGGCGTCTACCAGAGGCCTGGATGCCGACCCCCACTGCTCCGAGCTCCCAGTCTGGAGTTCTGCCCCTGCTATGGCGTTTTTGTATGTCTGGTTCGTCGGATCCTCAAATGCGATCGGCCCGCCCCCCTACTGAGCCTCTACAGAACATCCCAAGAAGGCGGGCATCTATAGTTATTCTCATTGTACGTCTCTTTGGGGAATGGTTGGGATTCAATGATTCGGCGCTCGGAGGGCTTCCCGAAGATACGTCTTGTTGGCAAGTTCCCATTCCAATTTTTTGTCCAGCAGATACGATTGGATGGCATATAAAGATGGCGCCCATGATGACATGATTTTGCCGGTGGGCCCGCGGGAACTCCTTGGTGAACTCGTTCCGTATCCGTGGCCGTGATTCAAGTCTTATATGGCTTCGCACGCTTCCGCAAGCGGCGCAAACGCCGGCGCCCCGTAGCGCTGGCACTTCGAGGCCGCGGCGCGTCGGCGGGGCCGCCCGCGGAAGGGCGGATCCGGAGGCTCTGGCGCGCGGCACGTCGCATCGTGCGGGGGGAAAGGAGGAGGCACGAGCTATGGTAACCGCGCGCCCGCGTGCGTGATGAACGCTGCGGAGGCAGCTACTGCAGTCGCAATGAAGCACTTCTTCGCCGCGAACATGCCAAACCCGCCGCAGCCGAAACTATGGCATTCTTGAAGAAGATGAGGCCTGCAGCCCTGGGAGCAGTGTCATCAATTATGAGAGGTGGCGGTGCTCCCGTGCCCTAGCGTTTCAAGCTTCTGAAGGTGACCGATCACAAGCTCACGGCCCAAGGAAGTGACGCAACAGTTGCTCGCAGTTCCGCGTCAAGCTTAGTTTCGAGCCACTCGAGCAGTTCCAGCGGCAACATCGAGCTCATGCGCACCGCAAAAGCAGCTGCAACGACGAGGAAAGCGAATAACTTTTTGAGGAGACAAGGATTTCGTCGAAGCCCGACGTGGACGCCACGCGTAATCAGCTAGCCGACATGCAGCAGACCAGGATTGACATTGCCGCGACCAAGCATGAGCCCGCTGAGCCCGCCACACCGGCGGTGAAAAGGAAGCCGGCAGCTTTAGATGTCGCATTCAGCCGCGCTTGAAGATGCCAGGGAGGCAGGCAGAAGGCCATGCAGGATATGATGCAAGCTGTGGCCCCATCTGAAGATGTCAACTCCTACCCGAAGTCCTGCGAAGTGTTCTGCACGGCCGTGGACAGCCTGGTAATGGTAAGGCAGTCTGACTGGAACAATGCCCTGAAGGCTAACAACTTATCCGAGACCACGGGCACGAGCAAACATGTAAAGTCAGAGAAGTTGCTTGCGCACTTGGCTGCGAATCATGGTGATGAGAGATGCTGCCATGTCGCGTGATGCTCATGGTTAGGGCTGACTCCTCCGTGATGCTCCCCGCGTGCTGGGCCCCGTTTGCCATCGCCTCGGACGTTGTGCAGGTTGCCCTGGAGGCCGCGACGCCATCGCGGGTGGTGCGGAGTGATTTCGCTGCACCCTTTTTTCTGACATATGTTGATTGTTTGCATTGCTGCTGCTGCTGGGAGGGTGCAGCGGCAGCAGCGGCGCCGGTAGTCTCGTCAGTGCTTTCAGAGATTTACCAGCCCGTCTCCTGCGTTTTTTTTTGGGGGGGGGGCTGTTTCTGTTTTCCCTCTCTCTCTCTCTCTCTCTCTCTCCCATTTTTTGTTTCTCTCTCTCTCTCTGTCTGTCTGTTGTTTTGTTTTGTTTGTTCTCTCTCTCTCTCTCTTTATGTCTCTTTCTCTTTCTCTTTCAATTTTGAATCCTGCAGTTTGCAGTGCCCAATGTAACCTTGTTTTGAGTTTCATAGCACGCGCGCTGCCCCACCTCGCACTCCTGGCTGCCCTTGGGAAATCCTCGCGCTAGGCCTCTGCAGTCGCTCCTGGGCCACAGGTACCCTCGTCGGTTTCAGCATCACCCTAATAACTTGTTCGGTAGACGACGATGATGATGCGCAATGGCTGCGTTGACCGGGCGAGCAGGGGCGGCGTGACCTGCCATCGTCGGTTCCAGAGGCCGACCGCTTGACTTCGCATCCGATTCTTTCGGGCGAAAACCCGCTCGACCAAGCAGCAGCAGCAGCAGCTGCTGCAGCAGCAGCGGCAGCCTTGCCGAGGACCTTGCGAGGTTGCTCCCAGGCCCCGTCCGCGACGCTCTCTTCGCGCACTGGGCTGCCGCGACGCACGCGGCTCTGGGCGAGCGGCGCGCGCGGCCCCCGCCGCCGCCCGCTGAGGTGGCCAATTGCCTCCAAGCGGGGGCCCACGTGGCCGCCCGGCGCCTCGCGCAGGTCGCTGGGCCCCTGCTGCGGGTCCGGGCATGGGGCGGCGGTGAGTTTGCAAGGCGCGCCGCCAGCGCGCTCTTGCTGAGCGACCCCGACAACCCCGAGCACCCAGATGCGGGGAAGGGCCTGCAGGCGCGCTTGGTCTTTGTCGACCTGGCGCGCGGCGCCCGCCTCGGCCCCCAGCGCTGGGAGGGCGGCCAGATTCTCCACGATCTCGCGCACCCTGATACCGATCGCCGCTGGCTGTGGGACCTGATGGCGGTCGACTACGCCGCGCCGTTCCTTTTCGAGTGCGTCACCGCGGTTCGGCTTCGCCGCGGGGCAGACCTTCTGGGGCCCCCTGCCGCGCGCGTGGGATGCGATGGCCGGCTGGGCGCGCAGGGCCAGCGCGCGCTCCGATGCGCTCCAGGCCAGGCCACGAGGGGGCGCAACAGGGCCCAGGACACGCTGCTCGGACTGGCGCCCCTGGCTGACGGAGGCGCTGTCGTTGAGCCCGAGGCTTGGTGGCGTCGGCCCCGCTGCCGCGGCCGGCCGACCTCCTCTCGGTCGCGGCATTTGGCCGCCTGGCGGCGCTGGACGTTGGCATCGCCAACCTCAGCGCGCGCGGCCGCGAACGACGCTTGCGACTCCACACTGCGGACAAAAAAAAAAACTCGAGGAGTGCGATCCGTGCTTGAGGGGGCTGGCGGATGATGGCGTGGAAATGGGTCCGTCGCGCGGGGCTGCTTGGGGCGGCCGCGCACCGGCGCCTCGGCCGCGGTGCGCTCCATGGCCCAGTCTGCGGCCAGGCGCCGCGCGGCCGTTCGCCCCCGGGACCTCCAGCTGCGGGCGCGCGGTGCCATCGGAGTGCAAATCTGGAAGCGCGCCGCACGCATGGTGGCAGCCTGCCGGCCCGCCCTCTGCGCGGACCCCAGCCGCCCCCCTTCGCCGCCCCTGCGGGTCCTCCACGAGTCCCTGCTGGCCGGCGCTTCCAGGGGTAGCGGAGGTGGCTGGGGCGTGGCTGGGGGGGGGTCCGACGGGCGCCGTGCGCCGGCGGCGGCGGAAGCGGCCCCGCGGGGGAGGATATGAGAACATGCAGCAGCAGCAGCAGCAGCAGCAGCAGCAGCAGCAGCAGCAGCAGCAGCAGAGGGAGGAGGCAGGATGATGACGGAGGACGGGGGAGGAGGCAGAGAGGAGGAGGAGGAGGCAGAAAGATGAGGAGACCGGCAGGGGGGGATTACGTTGTCAATTCTGTTGTTGTTGATGATGCTGATGATGATGATGGTGGTGGTGCTGATGATGATGATACCGATGCTGATGCTGATGCTGACGTTGATGCTGATGGTGACGGTGAGGATGAGGATGGTGATGGTGATTGTGGTGGTGGTGGCGATGGTGCTGGTGATGCTGGAGCTGATGATGACGATGCTGATGCTGCTGCTGCTGATGATGATGATGATTGCAGCTGGTGGTGATGATGATGATGACGGTGATGGTGGTGGCGGTGATGATGACGATGCTGATGTTGATGATGAAGATGATGATGATGATGATGATGCTGATGAGCATGATACGGATGATGATGATGCTGGTGATGCTGATGGTGCTGATGAGGAGGAAGAGGACCTGTTGGACGAGGGGGCGGGGACGTGTAGGAGTAGGAGGAGGAGGTGGAGGAACAACGGGAGAAGGAGGACAAGGAAGAGGAGGGGGAGGAGGAGGAAGAGGAGGACACGGACGAGCAAGAAGAGGAGGAGGAAGACGAGGGGTAAGAGGAGGATGAGGAAGAGGAGGAGGAGGAGGAGGAGGAGGAGGAGGAGGAGGAGGAGGAGGAGAGAAGGAGGAGGAGGAGGAGGAGGAGGAGGGGGAGGAGGAGGAGGAGGAAGGAATTATACCAATACTGCAAAACTGAAGAGGAGGAAGAAGAGGAGGAGGAGGAGGAGGAGGAGGAGGACGCGGAACAGGTGGAGGATGCGAAAAAGGAGGAGGAGGCGTTGGACGAAGACGAGAGAGAGGAGGAGGAAGAGGAGGAGGAGGAATAGGTGGAGGAGGACGAGGAGGAGGAGGAGGAGGAAGAGGAGGAGGAGGAGGAGGAAGAGAAGGCCGGCGAGGAGGAGGAAGAGGAAGAGGGGGATGAGGAGGATGAGGCGGTGCAACCGGGGGGGGTCACTACCGATTCGAACCCCTCCCCCCCCCCCCCCCCCCTCCGGAAAACCGGGGGGGGTCACTGCCGGTTCGAACCCCTCCCCCCCCCCCCCAGCTCATCATGAAAAGGGGGGGGGGGTCACTACCGGTTCGAACCCCCCCCCCCCTCGAAAACCGAGTGGGGGTGCGGACAGTGGTGGGGACGGTGTTGGTGGGGACAGTGGTGAGGGGACAGCGGGACAGTGGTGGGGACAGTGGGGGGACAGTGGGACAGTGGGGACGGTAGTGGTGGGGACAGTGGTGGGGACAATGGTGGGAACAGGGGGGACAGTGGACAGTGGTGGGAACGGTGGTGGTGGGGACAGTGGTGTGGGGACAGTGGGAATGAGGTGGAAACACTGGGACAGTGGAGGGTACAATGGTGGTGGGGACACTGGTAAAGGCGTCGGCGAGGACGGCGGTGGGACAATGGGACAGAGGTACAGTGGGGACAGTGGTGGGGACAGTGGGGACAGTGGTGGGAACAGTGGGACAGCTCAGTGGGACAGCGGAGGAGTCAGTGGGACAGTGGGGACAGTGGGGATAGGCAGTGGTTGGGTCCGTGGAGACAGTGGGGAGAGTGGAACCGTGGTGGGAACAGTTGTGGGAACAGTGGGGACAGTGCGACAGTGGTGGGGGCACTGGTGGGGACAATAGGGACGGTGGTGGAACCAGCGGGGGCAGTGGTGGTGAGGACAGTGGTGCTGGGAACAACAGTGGGGGATGTCATGCGAGCGGTGGTAGGGACCGGGAGTCGTTTGCTGGCGGTGCGTGGGGGGGGGGGGTCGAACCGGTAGTGACCCCCTCCGGTTTTCGAGGGGGGGGGGGGGGGTCCAACCGGTAGTGATCCCCCCCCGGTTTTCCGGATCCGGAAAGGGGGGGGGGGGGGGGGTTCGAACCGGTAGTGACCCCCCCCGGTTTTCGAGGGGGAGGGGGGGGGGGAGGGGGGTTAGGGAGGGGGGGGGGGGGGGGGGAGGGGGGGGGGGGAGGGGTTCCAGCAGGGGGGAGGGGGATTTTCGGAGGGGGGGAGGGGGGGGAGACCCCCGGGTTCCGGAGGAAAAGGTTGGCAATTTTCCACTGTAAAGCGGCGGTGGATCACGCTCTCTCGTTGTTGATGATGACAATTATGCTGATGACGATGCCGATGATGCTGATGGCGACGGTGCTGCTTCTGACAATGATGCTGATTACCTTGCTGATAATGACGCTCATTATGATTATATCGGCAAAGATAAGAAGGTGGATGGCGATGACGATGTTGACGATGCTGATGATGTTGATGACGATGATGACGATGCTGACGATGATCCAAAGATGACGGTCATGACGATGCTGATGATGGTGTTGATGGTTTTGGTGATGGTGTTGGCGATGATCCAAATGCGACGATAATGACGATCTTGATCATGTTGATGATGATGTTGATGCTGCTGGTAATAATGGTGATGATGCTGATGACGATGATGATGCTGATACTGTTGATGGTGCTAATGCTGATGATCATAGTGTTGATGATGCAGATGGTGATGCTGTTGATGATGATGAGGATGATGATGAGGGTATTTGTGATGCCTCATATTATAGTATTAATGACGTCGATGGCTTTGAGTATGCTTGCAATGACGATTATGCTCCTGCTATTGCTGCTGCTAGTGACGAGGATTAGGATGGTTATGCTGATGATGATGCTGGTGAGGATGATGATACTGATGCTGATGATGTTGATGTTGCTGATCGTGATGTGTTGATTATATGAGGCTCATGATGGTGATGGTGATGGTCATGCTGATGATGCTGATGCTGATGCTGCTGATGATGATACTGCCGGTGATGATGTTGATATTGATGCTTCCGATGCTGCTGTTGTTCATGATGACGACGATGTTGATGGTGCTGCTCGCGACGACGGTGATTGTGCTGAAGGTGCTGCTGCTGGTGAAGATGAGGATTATGTTTAATATGACGGGGGTGGTAGTTATGGTGCTGATGGTGTTGATGTGTGGCATCATGATAAGGCATTTATGTTGATGATGATCAGCAGGTGGATGAGGAGTATGAGCATGAGGAATACAAGGAGGGTGATGATGCGGAGGAGGAGGAGGCGGAGGAGGGGGAGATGTACGCGGTGGACGAGGGGCACGATGAGGACAATGGGGAGGAGCATTTGGATGGGGAGGAGGAGGATAAGGAGGATGAGGAGGATGAGATGGAGGGGGATGGGTAGCAGGATGCGGGGGAGGAGGAGGAGGAGGGAGGAGGAGGAGGAGGAGGAGGAGCAGGAGCAGGAGCAGGGGCAGGAGCAGGAGCAGGAGGAGCCGGGGGATGGGGAAGAGGAGGAGGAGGAGACAGTCGATGGGGAGGAGAAGGAGGAGGAGGAGGAGACGGGGCAGGAAACGGATGATGCGATGATGTGGAGGCGAAGAAAGAGGAGGATGTGGAGAAGGAGGAGGAGGAGGAGGAGGAGGAGGAGGAGGGGGAGGAGGAGGAGGAGGAGGAAATTGGCAGGAAGACGATGAGATGCATGGGGTGCCCTCCGCACCGCTACTTTGGCGCGAGGATGGCTCAAGTCCCTTATCCGATTCCCCCTCCATCTCCCTTGGTTCTGTTCCCCCCTCATCGCTGCTATGTCCTCCTGTTGCCCTCCTTTCTCCTCTCCCTTCCCTCCCTTGCTTTCTCCTTTACCCTCCTTCCCTCCTGCTTCCCCCTCCCTCCACGTTCCTCCCTCCGTCCTCCCGCTTTCTCCTCCCTTGCTATGTCACTCCCTCAGTTCCTCCATCTTTATCCTCACTCCTCCCCGCTCTGCTGCTCCGCTGCTCTCTCCCCTCTCTTTCCCCTTCACTGAACGATATGAGTACCACTCGCCTATTTCCCTTGACTCCGTCCAGAAGATACAGGACTCTCTTCGCTTTGAATTATATGTTTCACCACAGGATTTCAGACACTGGTGTTTTTTTTTTCTTTTGGAGAAACGATTGCTTTCGGTGTTTCAAAATGGTGCTCCCGCTGCAGCGTGGGCCTAGTTTTGGAGCAGCGCTTCGCTCCCGTCGTTCACAACGGTGCTCTCGTCCCAGCGCGGGCCACTTTCTGGATCCGAGTCTTTTTGTCACTGTTGTCGCCTCCCTCATTTCCCCTCCTCCGCCTTCCCCTGGTTTCCCGGGTCCTTCCACTTCAGTTCTTGCTGCTGCTTTACGTCCTGTTTTTTTTCCTCCCGCTCACCCTCCCGCTCACTCGCCACCACTTCCTCCTCCTGTGCACGCAGCTCCCGTGTTTTCCTGAATGCGCATGACAGGATGTGGTCTTTTGGCTGGAGTTGCAGGTCGGCTATGACACGCGTCCGCGGGTAGAGAAAAATCAGCGCAATGGGACGGGACGGGAGGAAGGGATAGGATGTTAGATAAGGCGCGAGCGCACCTAGCTTGCCTCCCCCCCTTTCTCCCTTTTCTATCCCACTCTCCTCCGATCCGAAAATGCGGCCCACGCTGCAGCGGCAGCACCGTTAAAATCCAGTAGAGTGATGGGAGCAGGTAGAGTAGCGTTCATATTGAGTAGTTGGAGACCTTTTTTGTTTAGGGTCCGCCGATTACCTGGGTTATCGGGCCCGCATCCCCTCGCCTCCCTCCTCCCTCCCCCCGATAACCTGACCTTGTGGTTTGTGCAGGTCCGACGGGGGGACGCAGTACTGGCGCGCGCGGGCATACGAGGGGCTGCCCACAGCGAAAAGATTTGGTTGTCGGCGGGCACCTCCCCCCCCACACCAGATAACCCGGGCGATCACCGACAAGTACATGCTTCTCGTCGGGCGACGAGATCTATACACCGGTGCCGCGATCAGGCTGGGCCTGGCCAGGGATCAGTGGATGTGTATAGATTTTGTCGCCCTGTGTTGTGACGTAGGCCAGGGGCGGTTCTCTTCCCCCCTCCACCTCCAGCGCGCCGGCCCCCCGCGCATGTCGCTGGCCAGCTCCGCCGCGCACGAGGCCTCGGGGGCAACGATAGGGAGGGACAGGCACAGGTCAGAGGGGCAACCTCCTCTCCCCTCCTCTTCCTCCTCCTCCTCTTCCTCCTCATCCTTCAGAGGTCATCATAATGGTACGTTCCAGGATTTCCAAGATTCCCAGACTTTCCAAGTCTTCCGAATGTTCCACTCTTGCCGCAGAAACGAGGGCCGCTAGATATTCTGGGAACCCTGGAGCGCATCCTGGGCCAATCCTATCATGACACCATTGCAGTCCAACATAATAGGGGGGTGCATCGACCTCGAATGTCTGATACATCGACGATACATCGAAGAGGCGATGCTCGACGATGTATAGACGATGAATGGAGCAGTCTGCAATGACGATTTATCGTCGATGCATGGGCGATGTATCGGCCGTTCGAGGTCGATGCATCCCCCTATGCTCGGCGTCGAGCGAGGGGGGGAAGTGATGAGGTGAAGGTCTTGTGGCGGCGGGACTTCTCACACGTTCTCGCGCCTTCTGAGAAGTTTTCCATGTCTTCGGGGAAGGCTTAGACAGTTCCTCAGAAGGCCGGGGGACTTCCGAGCCTTCTGCCGGCCACTTGCAGAGGGGGTAGTAGGCGGAGGGGGGAAGGCTCCTTAGAAGCGCCCCTGGTTCTTAGAGGGCGCGGGCCTTGTCTGTAGATGGAAGGCCGGCGCCTTCTAAGAAGCAGCCTCCTTCTAAGAAGCCTTCCCCCCTCCCCCATATCCCCCCCCCCTGTGCGCGCCGCCAACTCTGGAAAGGCCCGCCCTCTCTCACTTCCCCCAGGCGCGCCTGGGGTTGCGGCTTTGCATCGCGATCTCTTCTCATTCGGCTCGTGATGCGAACTATCACCATGCTGATGTGATTGCTTTCGTGCCTGCTGCGCCTATCTCCCCCCATCGACGTCCCTGGAGGTCGAGCTGGAGGAGGGGCGCGACGCAGGGCAGCCCCGGCGCCCGCGGGTCAAGGTGCTGGGGCGGAGGTACGGCGAGCTGTCCAACGAGCCGGACCTCGGAGAGGAAATACGGGCACAAGCCCAGACTCGGTACGATCGGCGGGGTGCTGGGCTCGGCGTTGGACCTCCCCAGGTCCGAGGTTCGAGGTTTTCCATGTTTTCCAGCCTCGGGGCGCTGCGCCTCGCCGAGGCTGGACGAGGAGGAGGCGGTGGAGGTGGAGGTGGAGGTGGAGGAGGAGGTGGAGGAGGAGGTGGAGGAGGAGGAGGAGGAGGAGGAGGAGGACATGTCGCAGTCCCCCAATACGCTTTGTTGTTTCTTCGTCCTGCCCGGGTCGCGCTGTGCTGACGCCACAGGCCTGGCAATGTCCCCGGGGGCCAGCGAGTGTCCTCAGAGGCCGACAACGACGATATTGTTTTGCATTGAGTTTTGCAGTACGCTGGCGTGTGGGGTCCTACTCATATTCTTAATGCTCCTCTTTTTCGGATTTTTTGTGTGTGATGATGTTGCAGCTTCTTTCTAGTGGTTGATTGTTGCTATTATGTTTGGTCTTCTTATCGGTCAACCTTGTCTCCTTCTTCTGATTAGTGTCTTTCCGCTGATTAGTCTTCTACCTTCTCTTTCGAGATTAGTCACTCGTTCTGTTCCCCGTTCGCGTATGTGTGTGTTGCCCCTGCAAGAATTGTCTTGTACCTCGTCTTCCTCTTTCTTCCTCTTCTGCGTCGGCCTGGGAAGGAGGAGAGGGAAGAGGAGGAGCAGGAGGAGGAGGAGGAGGAGGAGGGTTCGCAGGCCCCCAGCATGCTTTGTTCTTTCCTTCGCCCCGCCAGGACCACGCCGGGCGCACGCCAGGGGGCGGCTCCCACGGCACGCCGTGCGCCGCCCCGACGGGCGCGGGGGCAGAGGGCCTGTCGCCCCGGCAGGTCCAGCGGCCCACAAGGAAGCCTCGGGAGCGGCGGGGGGGCGGGGGCGGGCGGGGGGAGGCGAGGGAGGGGGGAAGGATGGTGATGGGGGATTGGGGGCGGGGAGGGCGGAGGGGGAGGGGGGGGGGGAGGGAGGGCCGAGGGGAGGGGGAAAGGAGATGGGGCGAGGGGAGAGGAGGGGGAGGGAGGAGGAGGAGGAGGAGGAGGAGGAGGAGGAGGAGGAGGAGGAGGAGGAGGAGGAGGAGGAGGAGGAGGAGGAGGAAGGGGGAGGAAGGGGGAGGAGGAGGAGGAGGAGGAGGAGGAGGAGGAGGAGGAGGGAGGGAGGAGGAGGAGGAGGAGGAGGAGGAGGAGGAAGTCTTTGCCCGACTCGGGGGCGCGGACCCCCCGCCCAGCCATCGACGCAGGGGTGGAGGGTCTCGCAGCGGCCGACAGGCTAAGCGCGGCGCCTCTTGCGCCTCGGCGGTCGAGGTGCCCGCGACCAAATTGGACACCGCCGCCGCCATCATGGACGAGAACTTCACATGTCTCATCTTGGTGCCTAGACCTTACGAGGCTCCAAGTTTCACCAAAGTGGGCAACCGGCTAGGCTGGAGACGACCTGGGGTACGAGATATCGCCGTTTTTGTGAGTGCGGCAGGCTCCAACAGAGAACACCGTCACCGCAAGAGCTGGAGCTCAACCTCGCGGCATCAATGACAATTCGTGGCGACATTCGTGTCGTGCCGGCCTCAGCTGCTGGAGATATGATCCTTGTGGACTCCACCACCTCTCTCTCTTCTCATATCCGAGCCATTCCGCCTGAAAGTCGGTGCAGGGGTTGTTTAAAGATGCCCTCAGAACCTGTTGCAAGCAGATGTGCTGCGTAGCTCCTCCTCCTCCTCCTCCTACTCCTCCTCCAATACCACCTCCCCCCGTCGTCAGAGCTCCGAATCGTAAGGGCTGGGGGTGGTCAGCGGTAGCTCCAGATTCGCGCCTCGGGGGCCCACACTCGGGGGCCCAAATCGGAGTTACCCTGACCGCAGTTATCTGGGATAATTCGGGCGTCCGACCTAACTCATCCACCACCGCCCCCTCCGACCCAATGAGCTGGAGTGCGGAAAATGGTGCCCTTCGGAGCTTCATTGGCGCAAGGTAGAGCAAGATGACAATAACACAGGTGCAACAGGTGATGGAAGGCTGTGCGCACGAAGCGTCAGATTATGTTTGCGTGGCGCAACCTTCATGCGCATGCGTCTTCGCACCATCTGTGAAGTGCCGAATGTAAGATATCGTACGCAATGGAAGTACGTACAGTTGATCGCGTTGCCAGTGCCTTGCGTCAGGCATTCGCTGAACTGCTCTTCTGCGTCTTCCCCATCGGTGCGCGAAATACTACACACCAAATTGATCAGCTGACGTCTAGTGCCCTGAAACACATGGATAATTCCATTTTTGTCGCGATACCAATTGTGTAAAGGTTGAGGGATGTCGTCAACTTCATCGCACAAGATGCCGTATGCTACAAGCAGGTCGTACTATTTTTTTGGATTAGTGGCCCCTCTAAAAAACTTGCCTGGATTATCTGTTTCATGTGATTTAAGCGTATTTTGAGACGCGGCCAACGTAGATGTATTGGGATCAATTGCGCGCCCCTTGCTTCGTCCAATACCGTCGAGATCGTTTCTGATACTGTCTGGTAGATCATTGCTTCCCGCAACCTCTGAATGATGATCGTCTTCTTGCTGGCTTCCCGATTCGAAGCAGCCGGACTCGTTCAACCCATGTGTAATTTGCGCGATGCCGTTAACCATATACGATGTGTCTGAAACAATATGTTCGGTTGGCTTCGGAACCAGCGTCTCAAACGCATCATCACCAGTCAACCAGCCATCATCGAGGCATTGAACACCTTTGTCTACAATTGTGTCTGATGGCGTAGGGGTCAAACTATGTACACATGGCGCAATGCCACACGCGTCACCCATACTATTCTCAACTTCGACATGTACGAGACGTGGGATACATGTTGGTGGCGGCGAAATGATGCCGACGCTGTTGACGATATCGGGTAGAACAAGCCTGGGGGAGGGAATGAATTCGTTTGCATTGGCAGTCGTAAGTAAATCCAGAAATCAATTATGAGATTGCAGCCGCTGCGAACGCGGCGCAGCGGTATTGAACTTTGAGTGTTCCAGAAACACATGTAGGGAATGCGTGGCGCTATGTGATCTTAAAATATGTGTGGTGTGTGTGTCTATCCTGGATCCGCCGCCTCTTTGATTTATTGGGGACCCTGTATGATTGTGCAGTGCAGGTCCGATCGCGCGCGGAGGCCGCACGCGCCCCACAAGAGGAGACGGCCATGGAAAACATGCAATGATACACACCCCTCTGAGGCATGAACAATGCAGTCAGGCCACTGCGAGGTCATGAAGTCCACAAAATCGGCCTCGGAACTTACGAAGTCGAACACTCGTGTGCCATGAAATATTCCTGATCGCCATATGGCGTATTTGCTACTCTGATACTTGTTCACCTTATCTGTCCACCTTGTCTTCGGGCGTCCCCGGGACCGCTTGCCTGAGAGAGGGATCCATTGCATCACCGTCTTCGGCTACGCTAAATCATCTTGAAAGATCCTGTGATCCTGTGAACTATCTGCAACCAATCGGAAACAGGGTGCTTCGACAGCGCGCTCCGTCTGCCGGCGTCTTCCCAATCTTCATCTGGCCGTTTCCAGAAGCCAGCGATGTTGCGCAGCATGGTTGATCTCGCAGCGGCAATCTTCATGCGTTGTTGTTGCGTCAGCGCGCACGTAGCCAACCCGCACGCGCGCGCATGCTGTTGCGTAGGCTGCAAATTATCTCTCTTTGTAATCTGAATTGTGCTGATGATGTTCGTTGTGCTGTATCTGCCTGGGCGGGCACGAGGTCGCAGCAGTGAGTGCGGCGCGAGGCCAGCCTGAAGATCGATCGGTACGATCAGTCCATCACCGAATGACGAATGTGGTTGGTTGATCGCGTGCCGCCCTCAGACCGTTTTCATGGCTTGAGCCCAATTGGTTACGGAATCCTCCTTCTCCTCCACTTCCTATTATCTTGGCACCTCAGATGGGGTCAGGCTTGGTGGGGTCGGAGGATCGCGCCGCACCGCCTATGCATGAGCGATGTTGCTCGATGTTGAGAACGTTTTTCTCCATGAGGGCCTCGCCGATGCATCCCCAGACGTCGCCGATGCATCGGTGATGTACAGACGATGGTCGATGCTCCTCCCCCCTGTCGGGTATAGCCATGGCCCCCGGCATTGGCAGCTGGTTAGTGATAGGGCACCGTAGCCAAACAAATGTGCCGGAATATCTGAGCCAGGTTTTCCGTAACTGGTATTTTTTGTGGTAATGGTATTTTTGGTTCGTGGAATGGGGCGGAGGAGGCGCCCCAAGCACGCGCAACTAAGCCAAGTCCCATTACACACAGTTTTGTCGATGCCCAGTCCTCCTCCCTTCGGCAGCGAGCCAAGGGGGGAAGTCAGAAGGGGCCGGCCTCTTTAGAAGCTCGGAAGGCTTATGGTTTTCCGATAGGTTGCCCAAGCCTTTTCGAAGGCAGAGACGGTTTCGCAGAAGGCCGGAGGTCTTCAGAGAAGCCCCGCCGCCTTCTGAGAAGGCCCGCTTCCTCTCACTTCTCTCCTAGGTGCGCCAGCAACCCTTGTTTGTCCCCCCTCGAGGAAGCTGCCCCCCGCCGCCTCCGAGACCGCGCGCGTGGTGGTGAAGGGCGTGGGTATCGGCCTGGTGGCCAGGGGGCATCGGCAGGCCCAGATTCGCGGCGACCCGACCTGTCCAGCCCCGCCTTACCCAGACAGACTCGCGTCGTGACAAGGTCACGACGGAGGCTCCTCGCAGCTGTCGGCCTCTTGGGGCCCCCGCTGGGCCCCAGGACCGTCAACAGATGGCTCGGGATGCACAACCTGCCCAGGGGCATAACGCACGAAGACATCGGATCCCAGGGTATGTGGCCCGCCGTTGGCCTGGGCAGGGACATCGTGAACGGATCCGAGACGGGACCCCCCCCCCCAGGGAAGGGGGCGGGGACCTCCAGGGCCCATCCGCCTCGTTGCCTGGGGGCAGCAACAGGGGTGGGGGCGCAGGTGGAGGGGATTCGGGGCGCCGGTGAGGATGGGCCCGGAAGGTTTCTCCGGAGGGCGCCGGGGGTTCTCAGGGGCCCCGGGTGGTTTGCAGAAGCCGCGTTTTGTCAAGGACGACCCTGGGATGCGAGAGTCGTCCCGAGCGGCCGCCCGAGGTGCGGGTGGAAGCTGTTTGGGGCGCACGTGAGAGGAACGGGCTCCTCCCTGCCTCCTCCTTCTCGGCCACGCCACGCGCAGAGGGGAGGTGGGGGGAGGGGGAAGACTTCTTCGAAGCACCCCTGTTTTTTTCTAAGAAGGGGGCCGGCCTCGTCTGTGGATGCAGGGCCGGCGCCTTCTAAGAAGCAGACTCCTTCTGATAAGCCTTGCCCCCTCCCCGTGCTTCCTTGTCCGCGCCGCCCCCCCCCCCTCCTTGCCTTCGCAGGCTACGAGTTGGGATCCTCCCCAGGCCCCAGGCAGAGGGTGACTCCCTTTGGCCAGGCCCTCCCCGAAGGACTGTGCGATGGCGGCCCGCCAGCTCGTGTATGCTTGGAAGCGTGGGCTGCGACACTCCCTTGCTCTGCATTAGAAGCTGCTGTCTTCTGTCCTGCATGCGGCGTTTCGTTTTGTTTTGTGCGCATCGGATTTCAACCATTGATGTTTAATGTGTGTATGTCTCATTTGTCCGAAGAAGTACTCCCGCCGCAGTGTTGACTTCGATTCAGGATCGGCGCTTTGCTCCCGTCGTGCAGCATGACGCTCTCGCCCCAGCGCGGGCCATGCTTCTAAAGCGGAGTGCTTCTTTGTCGTTGTCGCCCTCTCCTCTTAATTATTCCTGCTATGCCTCCGCCGGGTCATTCTACGCCTCCCCCTGGTCCTGGTCCTTCCCACGGCCCATCCCACGGCTGACCAGGAGCGAGGGCGAGAGGTGGCTACAGCACGCGCATCTTGCAGCAGGGATTCTGATCCACAGGCTGCTTGGTGCCTTCGCCCTCTTTCCTCTCTCTCGTTCTTCCCCGCACGCTGGACTGCATAAATGCTTCAACTGCTCCTCCTGCCCATCCTCTAACCCGTCGTCCTCGTCCTCCTCCTCCTCCGCCTCCTCCTCCTAAGTGCACAGCTCCCCGTCCTGACTGCTCATAGCACCATGAAGGCACGTTGGGGGCTCAGGTCCGCTATGACACCCAGCGGCGGATAAAGCAAAAGCAGCGCTGCGGGAAGGGATCGGTAGGAGAGGTGGGATGTCACATATGGCGCGATCGCGCCTCGCTTGTCCTCCCTCTCTTTCGTTCCTCGCTTCCGCGCAGCTGATTGACTGACTGACTGTGGCCGTACATCCCTTGCGGACGCGTAGGCAAAAATACAAATCTCAGCGCGCGTGCATAATAAGACACGAAAACTATGCCTCGTCACAAACTGAAGTTGCCCACTGCTGTCTGGAACGCCCCCGGCGCCTGCGGTGAGTCCAGCAGATTGAAACGTCCCATGATGGGTCCTCAGGGCGTCGTATCAAGCAGATCTTTGCGTGATGAGCTAGCAAGAGCTTGCCAGTGGCAGCCCAGGCTTCTCGCGTTGTGGCGATCTGACTTGACGCCCCCAGAGCTCGATCCGATGTGATGTCCCTCCCTCCTCCCTCCATCCCTTCTTCCGTCTCCTCCTTCAGGAGCGCAAGAAGGGCGTACCCGTACATGAATCGACGTCGGTTTCGCGAGTGCGGTTTGCGCGCGCGTTCGCATGACGCGGTTGGTCTCGCGGACTGGTGGGCCGTGTTCATGTGCGTGGTTGGGCGCACGTTCTTTGTGGGCTCCCTACTCCTCAGGCTCCCTCCTCGTCCCTCGCTCCTCCCTCTCTCGTCATGAGGGGGTGTCGGGGGCGGCGGACTTGCCCCGGGGGGGGGGGGCAAAGCATCGCCCCCCAAGCGCTCCACTCGTCGCCGAGCGGGGCCCCGCTGCCCTGGCCTGCCCGGGAGCGTTCGGCTCCGCTGTCCAGGGCCCGTCCCCGACTCCAGGTCAATGTTCCCCCCCCTCGAGCCAGCCCCCCCTTTCCATCCCCCCCTTACCGCGAAGGCGCAGCAAGAAACATAAACGTACACTTTCGGACTTCCGCGCGGATTTCTTGGATCGGCGCTGGACGCTTCTCCCTGGCGCGCGGAGCGGGGGCCCCTGCGCCGATTCGAGAAATCTGCACGGAGGGCCGAAATGTTTTATGTTTAGATTGCTATAGTTCCTCGATTGCCTTTCCCCCTCAGGTGGTGATCGTCCTGGTGGTGGCCGTGGCCAACGCCCCCCCCCCCCTTGGCCGGGCGCGGCCCCCGATTGGTTGTCCCGATGGTTGTCCCGATGGTTGTCCCGATGGTGTTGTTCCGATGGTGCTGTCCCAATGGTTGCCCGGATGGTTGTCCCGATTGGTGTCCCGATGGTTGTCCTGATGGTTGTCCGGACGGTTGTCCCCATGGTTGTCCCGACAGTTGTCTCGATGGTCGTCCCGGTGGGTGTCCCGATGGTTGTCCCGATGCTTGTTCCGATGGTTGTCCCGACGGTTGTCCCGATGGTTGTCCCGATGGTGTCCCGATGGTTGTCTTGATGGGTGTCCTGAAGGTTGTCCCAGATGGGTGGATACACAGTGGCAGATAGACAAGTGTGTATATATATAAAGAGAGAGAGAGAGAGAGAGAGAGAGAGAGAGAGAGAGAGAGAGAGACACACGTTGGCATATAGTGGTGTAGACAATTAGTTAGGTAGATAGATCGGTGGATTGCCCCAGTGGTTCTCCCGATGGTTGTCCCGATGAGTGTCCCGATGGTTGTCCCAGATGGATGGAAATACAGACACCATTCACACGATCATCACCATCACCATTCCGAAGACATTTGTACTCAAGCCGCCTCGCCCTGCAGAGGGCTGCCAGCATCGACGCCGCAACAGCATGTCGCCAGAGAGTGGGCCGCGCCAGCTCACGGTGCCACGCCCTGCCAGCGACGAGCCATACCATGGTTCACACCTGGTGAAGCAGCCCTACTCGCACCGCGCGAACTCGCGCGCTGGGTTCGCAGAGTTCTGCCCCGCCTACGTGATGACGGGCGAGCAGTTATTCGAAGCTCTCAAAAGAGTTTCGGGCGTGAGGCACGGCGAGTGGGACGCGTCGAGGGGCATATCGGCAAGTACGAGCAGGAAAACAAGTGTTTCGTCTACTCAAGTCAAGGCGACCCGACCAGGCCTTTCGAGTTCGAGGTGGCCCGGAACCAACACGCAAAGGACGAGAAGGCGCCCCACGCAGCGACGGCGATGTTCAGGACCCACCGCAGGATATGGATACGGAGGCATGGCCGATTTTACGTGCAGTTGTAAAACAGTGAGGAACTGCCGCCACAGGTCGTGGAGCAGCACGCACGGGACAGCTTGTCGCGGTTTGCGCCAGGCTCTGCCAGCGCATCTGCCTGCCAGGGCGCGGCGGCTGACGCGGAGGCCGCGCAGGGTGCCCAGGCCGCGCCGCAGGGTCCTGCGGCAGAGGGCGCGGGCGCGCGCCGCTCTGTCAGCGTGCTGGAGGCGCCTGGGGCGGCTGCTCCAGGCTCCCCCTGCCCAGCGCAGGGCGCAGGATCAGCGCCGCTGCCGTGCCCGCTGCGCCCCTGGGGGGTCGCGCCGCGGCCGGCCTCACAGGCGAGGCCGTGCGCGCCATTCTCCGCCGCGGCGGCAGCGGCTCCGTCGGCCCCGTCGGCTGCGGCTTCGGCTCAGTCGGCCCCGGGGGCGCGGGCCCTGGCAGACGCTGCCCCTCCACTCTGCGCCAGGAGCGGGGCCGGCGTCGGCGCGCTCGCCGCCCTCTCTCCAAGCTGACGCGGAGTCGGTCGCGAAGAAGGTGTCAGACCGACGAACCATGAGCGGTGGTCGCGCAGGGTGCCCTTGCCCCGCCGCCAAGGCTTGCAGAAGTGGCCGCGGCCGCGCCGAGCCCTGCCAGCAAACCGGAGGCTGCGGGGGCCGCGCAGGGCGCCCCCGCCCGCTGCGCGAGCCTGCAGGAGAGGCCGCGGCCGAACTAGGCTCTGCTGGCAACCCCTTGTGCCCGCTGCAAAACCTGACAGAGACCCAGAGGATCCGATCCCACAATTAGGGCCTATCCTTACGAGTGGGCGTCGCATCAGGTACGTTGGAGGTTCTCCCGTAATACATCGATGTCATTGCAAGAGTCCCGATTATAACTTCCGGGATCCCCCTTATTGTATTCCGGAAGCGTCCGTCTTGTGGTAGCATGATGCACGCATATGCATGCGCATATATATATATATATATATATATATATATATATATATATATATGTATGTATATGCATGTACGTATGTATGTAAATATGCATACATGTACAAATTCATGTATGTATATATGTGTGTATGTATGTGTGTATGTTTATGTATATGCAGTTGGATGCATGTATAGGTAGTGATATATATATATATATGGATAGACGTATACGTATTGTTATATATACATACATACATACATGTATGTCAACATATGCATGTACAAGTGCAGATCAACGCCTGCGCACGTATGCAGAACTATTTGCATGTAGTATACATACAATCGCATGTGTATACACATATGTATGTTCATGTATGAATGCATGCTTGCATGTGCTACAATGCACAATTGCGGCGGTAGCCCGCGCTATATGGGGGGGATT